TGCTCAGGGGCGTGGGGGCCAGGGCACGTGGGTGGACCGGCTGTGGGCTGTGTGGGTCCTGGGGAGCAGAGACCCACACGTCTCTTGAGGGGAGGCTGTGTGTGGCCAGTGCATGCCCACTCATGCCTCTCCCGGCGTTTCACACACGGGCTGCAGCCTGATTTCCTCTGTCACTGAGCTCACTCATAAGCACCATTTTTAATGACTGTCGGATGCTCCATTTTGTGGCCATAATTCACTGAGCCACTCCCTGACTGCGGACCTTGCCATTGCAGTTGTTGTTGTTGTCAGGGGCCGTCAAGTTGGCTCTGACTCCCAGGGACCCCGTGTAGAAGACAATGGAACACTGCCCAGTCCTGTGGCAGCCTCACGATTCTTGCTGCACCTAAGTCCACCGTGGCAGCCCCTGTGTCAACCTGTCTCATTGAGGGCCTTCCCCTTCTTCGCTGACCCTCCACTTTACCAAGCATGACACCCTTTGTTCTGGTTCCCTAGTGCTCTCTGACAACAATATACCACAAATGGGATGGCCTTAATAAACAGAAGTTTATTCTCTACAAGTTCAAGAGGCCAGAACTCTGAGTTCAAAGTGCCAGGCTCTAGGTGCTGGGTGAAAGCCCCTTGACCTTGGGCTTCAGCTCTGCCTCTTGCTCCCGGCCCACTGAAGCTGGAGGCATCTCTTCACTCAGGCAACTACTGGCTGCTGAGGCTGACAAGCCCAAGGTTGACAAATAAAATGGCATAGTCCCGATGTTACCAAACCACACGGCAGGCCATTCATTCAAGTCCATTGTAAGTCCCGAGGTCAGCAATCACGGCAGGCTTCTGAACAATGACACGGCTACATGCAGGGTTCAAGCATGCCATAAGCTAGAGACTGTTACCCAAGGCTTCTCTTTATACACAGAAAGCAGACCCCATCCCTAAGGCAGCTACTCAGCTGCTCCCAGCAGATTCCACCATGGAGTTGATGACCAGTCTCATCACGGGGAGCACCACATCCAGCTCACAGCAGATTCCACCATGGAGTTGATGACCAGTC